GACCGAGTGAGACTCCAACTCAAAAAAAAAAAAAAAGAAAGAAAACCAAGAGTCTAAGAAAGTACAGTTAGTTCCCAGGCTTTTTGATTTCACAGATAAATAACATTAAAATAATTGGTAACTGACTCTAGTAATTTAATTTATTTTTTAAAAAAGGATACAAAAATGCTATAATTTATTATTATCATAGTTTTAGTGGTAAAACTAAAACTATGATAATATTTTTTTTTTCCACCAGAAAATATAGGAAAGGCACAATTTCATAATAATATACAATTCTTTTCTTTTTCTTTCTTTCTTTTTTTTTTTTTTGAGTTGGAGTCTCACTCTGTCGCCCAGGCTGGAGTGCAGTGGCATGCTTATGCCTATCCCAGCATCGACCTGCTGGGCTCGGGGAATCCTTCTGTCTCGACCTTCCAAGTAGCCAGAACTACAGATGCGTGCTACCACGCCTGGTGAATTTTTTATTTAATGTAGAGACGAGGTCTCACCAAGTTGCCAGGGCTGGTCTTGAACCCGCGGGCTCAGGCAATCCATTTGCCTTGACCTCCCAAAGTGCTGGGATGACAGGCCAAGTCACCAAGCCCGGCCTACATACAATTCTTGAAATTGAATACATTCAGATTTATGAAAAACACAGGACACAGACTTAATTTTTCTCATTTTGTCAGGGTCATTTTGTCACCAGCCAACTGGTCCTCAGATTCGTGTTTTGGAACACTAGAAGGATCCCTGAAACATGTCCAAGGCAGTATTATTTATTATCTTCAGAGAAATTCATGTTGCTGCTATTAGTTGCAATTAACATACAAATATCTCAGTCATACAATATTATCTATGGAATCTTCTAGGCAGCAGTGGATTAAAAAGAGGGGGCCAAATCTCTGCCCTTGATGTATAGAAAAAGGGTACTGTTTTCAGAAGTAGACAGACTATTAAACAGGAGATGTTCATCCTATCGAAGAACTAGTGAAGAAGCAAGGTAGCAAGAGAAAATGGCTTGTGAAGTTTTCTGAATATTTAGAAATAATCAAGATCAGTTTCAAGGGTCAGGTACTCTCCCTCATTATAAGGAAAAATTCTCATTCAGGAAAAGCAGCGGTAACCTGCTAAATGAAGCCTATTTTTAATGCCTAATTCATTACTAATATTTATGGTGCACTCCTTATACACAAAGTACTCTCTAGATTCTAGGCTATGGGGAGAGTGTTGCAAGGATGATTGATAGGTCCCAATCTCACGAAACAAGTTGTGGAAGGGTAAACAAACGACAATGACTAGGTTAATCTAAAATAGGAACTGATTATTTGTCGGAATGCAGGTTCTTGAACTCATAACCAGTCCATTGTTTCCTCTAAAAAGGTATTGGTGATCTTAAAAAATTATGTTCTATAAGATGCACTAGAATTTTTGGTCTGCACTAAACTTGCAGTCAGCTAGAGAATGTCCTCCATCATATTCCCCATACTGAAACACCTAGTTTCAGCTGAAGATTTTTTTTAATTGCAGCTTTTTCTCTGTTTCTCACTCTACTTTTGGAGAAAGACTGAAGAGGAAAGGAGAAGGTAGGTTAATTTTTATGTGATGCAAGTATACTTTCACTTACTACTGCTATTATTATGAATTTTGAAGCCTGTTATAAAAGCCTGGGAAACTGAAAGGTGGAGAGAGGCGGTTTTGGGGAAGGATACCAGCAGGTGGCGCTTGTCTCCTTTGAGCAGATTAAAATGTTTTACTTTGGGACGAGAATCTCTTGGGAATTAAGGGCGACTATGGGTGCAGTCAATGCAAGAGACATAGATCACGTGCAGTCAATGCAAGGGACATAGATCATGCCGTAATGAGTGCAGAGTCCATGAAGTCACAAGCTCCAGCATGTTGCCTACGCCATCACACTTCTGCCTTACTTAAAAAGACCTGCTTTCTACTCCAAGGGTTGTACTATTTTCATATTTGACTTCCAGCCTAATTTCCCAAACCAAGTCGCTCATAGATTTAACAACAGAAAAAAAAAATAATAATAATAAAATAAAGGCCCTAGCGATTTGACCCTGAAACTTCAACTTCAGGGAAGAGTGAGAACTTATCAATCTTCCAGCTGGTCAGTCCTTAGGGTGCCAAATGTTCTGTTTCCCCTGGCATTTCAGCATTGACCTGGGCACCTGCTGCTGGGTGGCTGATGGCAGAAGGCGAATTTGCTTGCATGCAAGCGAACATGTTAGTTCCCAGGTCCCATAGGGACATGAAGAAGCGGCTCAAGGACATTTGGAGGGTACTTTGAGCTCAGGCTTAAGCTGTGATGCGTTAGTGGTTTGTTGGAGTCACCGACTTTCTAATCTCTCCTGTCACCACCCAGTTCGAGGGCTCAGTCGGCCATAGCTACCCCATCTGCTTCACATGACAGTGTATTCTGTCCACCCGAAAAACTACCCTCATTTTGAAAGCATTTTCTTCCTGTGTCTGTAGCTTTCTACAATTGCTCGGCAAACGTTCTGCCCTACTCGCGCTGGAGTCTAGCCGGTGGTATACGGTGAAGGAGGGTAACTCTAGATCCTGGGGGCTGCTAGCTCGAATCCAGCTCCACCTCTGACTGCAGGGATGACCTTAGATACGTTTCTTAACTTTCTCTGTAAACTGGGAAAAACAATTTCCCACTCTTGGGGTTTATGAAGTAAAACGAGAAAACTTCTGTAGAGTACTGAGGCCAGCGACTGGTTCATTGTAAGCACCCAAATGTCATAGGGCATCTCTTGGGCTAAGCCCATAGTGAAAAACTGCCTTTGGGGGAACTCTGGGTCAGACAGAATAACTCGCAGAATTGAAACAATTTTCTCCTTCTGGTGACCTTACTGTATTTCATCCTATCCATTGCCCCCGCCGTTTTCTCAGACCCCCCCCCCACCTCTTGTTCTCTAAAACCTCTTGGCGGCAGAAGGAAACCCAGAGGGGTTCAGCACCTATCTGAAAGTCACCTCCCAAGCAATTGTCCAGCTTTCCCATCCCTGTACCCCCATTGTAATGGGGACGGATGGCAGCGAAGCAGCGAGGGCCA